TATATATATATATATACATTATTCAGTATAAAACATATATTCAGTTGTTAATAAAATAGATTAGTACATTTAACAAGAAAATGCTATTTCTGAGTATATTTCGAAATATCATTTTACCCCGAGACTTTCTACTTCAAAATCTCATTTAATTCAGTTACTTGCCATTATGTTGTAATTACTTGTGAAATTTACTAGCAATTTCTAAGTGAAAATCGTTTCATACACATACAAGTAAATCAAACACAGAAACAAATTGAGAATTTGCAAGAGAATTTCACAAATAATTTCAAAGAAATGGCAAGTAACATTGAATTAAATGTTGAAGCATGAAAATCATTTTTTTGTTTGTTTGTTTCAGTAATTTTAGAAGAAACTTCTGAAACAACATGAAAGAGCAATAATACTTAGATTTTTGTCGTATAGCTGTCATCTGCAGTTAACCTGCTCCTGTTGTTGCTGATACAAAATGCACTGAATGTAATACATCAAGATGATGGACAAGAATAACGTTACCGGCAACTATGATGGGGGTTACGGGACAGAAGCATCACCCCCTGCATTTATTTGTTTTTGCGCCTTTTGTGCTGAATGAAGTGGGATTAGTGTGAAGGAGAGGCTGAGAGGGGGGCTCCTCTTTTGAATGAGGGCAGGAAAACGATCCAGTGATGGTTTGGGTTAAGATAAGAGCTAAGGGCTGTTATTGAGCTAATGTGCTTGAAACGTACCCCTTTTTTCCTCTCAATTACCTCAGCCTGTGAAGCCAAAGTCCTTTCAAACGACAAGCCCCCATCATCTCTCTGTCTCTCTCTCTCTCATGCGCTTGTTCGCCACCATCATAAGGATTCGGTCCCTCTGGTCAGAAAGAGCGGTGAAGGACAGGTTGTATTAATTACTCCGTGCCGGCCGACCAGATCATTTTATCACAGATTTGTCGACAAGTTGCAGTGGAAGCTAACAGTCGAACGCCTCCGGTGAAGAACAAAAGCGAGGGAAGAAGGGTCTCTGATGTGAAATTAAACATGTCTGCTTTGCTTTTTTTTCCCTCTGACAACCAAATTTGTGTCTTGTGTAATTGATAACTGCCTCAGCCAATTATTTTGCGCGTTACAATACACAGAGGCCCCCTTTCGCTGCTACAGCTCTTCCATAATTAGCTATGCTAATATCCCTTTATTGGCCTTAATATTGCTCAACATCTCCATGGCATCCATGGGCCACCAGAGTCCTGTGTCCTGTCACAAATGCTGATTATTGAGAAGGATAGCTTTAATCAAACATAATTGCAGTTAATTTTTTCTTCCCTTCCTTGCTCTCCGTTGCCAGCATCTAATGCTGCGTTCTTCTTGATATTCCATTAAATGACTATTTAACTGCCTTCTTTATTTCCGACGGTCGCGAACATCGCCGCAAAGTTCTGGAGCCATTTAAAGAGAGCAAAAGGGAGAGAGAACCGTGTGGCCGTAATTGCTTGCCTTTTCACAAAGGATTAATTTACTCAATCCCCATGCAGAAGTGAAACTGCTCTAATTCAGATGAAATTACGGTGCTGTTGTGGAAAGCAGCTGAATATCATTGTGCTCAGAAAGCTGTGGAAATTCACTTAATCAAACTCGGAGGTAAACAGACCCCAAGCGAACGCGCGCAACCACTGAATGCGGTCTTAATGAGAGCGTGTGTGTTTTTGAACACTTATACATTTGCCTGTTGGTGATAATAACCTGCAATTTCGTTTATAATTAATTTAATTTAATGATTTTCTTTGACATTAATTGTAAACGTGTTTGGCTATAGTAGGTTATTTAATTTTCTTTTTATATAATTTACTATAGAATGACAGGGAATTGTATATATGAATATATATATAATCTTTTTTTTTTGTACCACAGCTCACATTGTAAGTGTACTTCAAATGCATTCTGGGTTTTATATACCTCTAGGGTTTTTCATGTTTTTGCTGTATCTATTGAAATTGATGCGGTTCATCTCACTTTCAAACCTCTGAATGGGTGCTTTGCAATAATCTTTGAGTTAGCACAAGTGTGTCCACCTGTGTACATGTGTGTGAAGCCATTTGTTTGCGGCTATAGAGTGAGAAAAAACAAGTGAGAGAGAGAGAGATAGCGAGTGAGAGAGGTAAATAAAGGCTATATTTCAGGCTTGATTTACTCCGATACCTGCTGTGAAACATTACAGCTCTATGGGGAAATAAAGACAGGGGCCGCGAATTACAGCTCGTAATACTCATTCTGATAATGGCCTGTCCAACAACTTCCATACACACACTGTACACAATTAAAGCTAATGCTCTAATGACGGCAGACGCGTTTTTGGCCTCCTCTTGCCGTTATGACTGCCATCTTTCTTTACACCCACCCCAGCGATACTGAAATTCACTTTTTATTGACGCCGGTCACTAAAATTTTCTGAAACTACCAAGGCCACCTTCGGGGCCCTTGCTTCGCCTTTCTCTTACTTTTCCTCAATCTGTCTCAATCCTAAACATTCCCTCTCTGTCGGGAGGAAAGGGTGACTGTATATAAATGAGAATTGGAAGTGGAGGGGTGTTCAGGGTTGCAGATGTCATTTCACACAGTGATATATTGCTCGGCTCGTGGTCCCATCGGAGAGTCCGAATGAGAGACTTCATCCTGCATACTCACACTGTTTACCTAGTGAAATACATGTGTTAACTCAATACTGAACACAATCTGCAATGCATGACACTGTAGCGTGAATGCTAGCAAGAGAACGAGGGACCTTTACACAGTACGTCCGGCCTCTCAAGGGTTGAGACGCTGAGGTAAATATTGGTGGACATGGACATCCATATACAAAGACAAATTTCCCACCTGCTGGATATTTCTGGACGAACCGCAATCCCTTTTAGGAAAAGTCAGCTCACTCGGCGACCATATCTATCTATCTATCTATCTATC